CGAAGCAACATTCACTGAATATACTAAGTGTTGATGATGAAGTCAAAATGATAAGCAGGATGCTACGTTTCAAGAAGGTTTTAATCGTTCTTGATGACGTGGATAACAATGACCAATTGGGATACTTAGTTGGAAAGCGTGACTGGTTTGGTGATGGCAGTAGGATCATTACAGCAACTAGAAACAATGATTTACTTCGCAAGCACGATAAGTTATATCGTGTACCTGAGCTGGCTATCGATGAGGCTCTTGAACTTTTTAGTTGGCATGCCTTTCAGCAATGGACTCCTGATAAGGAGTTTGAACAGCTCTCAATTTCTGTAGTAAATTATTCTAATGGTTTACCGTTAGCTCTTGAGGTATTGGGTTCTTTTCTCTTCAAACGAGGCATGAATGAGTGGAGAAGTGCATTAGATAGACTCAAAGATATTGGAGATGGGAAAATTGTCAAGCAACTCAGCTTAAGTCTAGATGGATTGAGCCATGAAGACAAGGATATATTTCTTGTTATTGCATGCTTCTTTAGGGGAAAAAAGAAAGATGATGTGATAACAATATTGAATAGCTTTGGCTTCAAATCAGAAATTGGAATCAGCATTCTTACTGAAAAATCACTTTTATATGTTTCAGAAGGAATGGTTGAGATGCATGATTTAATAGAACAAATGGGTCAACAAGTGGCACGTGATATTCATCAGGACCAGCCCTGGAAGCATAGTAGATTATTGCATGACAAAGATGTTGAAACTGTGTTTTCTGCAAATATGGTACATGTCCTCTAATTATCGAGAATGCTGGAGCATTTCCATTTTCTCTTTTGCATTATGATTTAGTATTTACATAATATGGACACCAAGTTGTACAACATGGTCTAGTTCCAGTACTGTCTTTTTTCGGTGAAAGAAGCAAAACAGATTATTGTTTTTTAATTTAAATGTTTATTATAGAATCTTAAACAGACCGGAGAATTCATTTTTTCTTTAGGTAATGACTGAAAGGTATGAGAATTACATACTATCCTTAATTAATAAATGCATTGAATAGTTTGATTGAACTGCTAACTGAGAGCCAGATGTAAATTTAACAATCTATATGTATTATTTCTTAAACCCTTTTTCTTTATCATTAAAAAAACAAGTGAAATATGTCAATATACCTGCATCAACGGATAATAGGATTTCTGCTTTGATGTAAATTCTTGTTTACTAGAGATACCTTCTTTTCTTTTCAGTGGACAGAGTCAGTTAAAGGCATAATGGTGCCAATTGGCTCAGATCGACGTATATGCAAGTGGAGCAAAGCTTTCAGAAACATGCCTTGTCTTAGGTTACTAATTGTCAATGGGGAGGAGGTCCAACATTATTGTTTAACCAAAAATCTGAGTCTTTGATTAAAGCTAGAAAGAAATTCGGGTTATTGATAATCAGGAGACGGAAATAAAATATTTTTGAGAATGATGGTAAAACAGTAAATAGTTTTGTATTTCAGTAAGATCTCAATAGTATTTCGTGTCCTTACAGATGTTGTCCTTCTCCTTTTATAGTTGATTCTAGGAAAAGGTGTTATGCCTTTGTCTTAATGAGACAATTATGAGCAATAAATGACATTAAATAAGACGTTACACAATCATTCCTATTTAATACCAATTCTCTAACGTATTGGGTATTAATATTGAATTTGAATTCCTTTTCGTCATCATATCCATGTCTTCAATACCTTCTGATCTCTTGGCTTTAAATGACCTAAATAGGTACGAAGCGTGTATTATTCGAATTGCCTCTCGTGCCTATTTAACTTTTCTTTCCCCGTATATGTTGTCACTCGTGCCTCTTAACTGATCATCATGTTTTGACCATTTGACTAGTCCACGTGTCATGCCACATCACCTTTAATGTAAATTCAGTTTTTTCCCAATACAGATAGTCCCCTCACTTTCCATTTATTTATCAATTAAATATTTGGGAAGTGGATCTTTATAAAACGGAAATTTTTGTTGTAATTAATACCATGACAGTACTGATGCTTCAGTTATCCCTTCTAATTAATGCTTTGCATACGTGTCACTTTCTGATTGGTTCTGCAACTCTGCGTCCTTTTTTCAAGGTTTCTTCATTCCCACTATTCACGAAGTGATCGTTGCCTTTATTATAGGCCTTCCATCATTACACTTTTAAGTTCGACGGTTGTCATTATAAATATATTTAACCCTCTTTCTTTTGTCTTCTTCTTCATAGATCTTCAACAAGCAATTTATTAGTCACCTTTGCTTTTTCTCCCCTTTAGTTCATCCTTCTTCAACAATGTCATCTCCAAACCCTAACCCTAGAAAAGTTCTAATTCTAGATCACTTCCCCAATGCCCCCATAAGACATAGGAGAGGCAGAGGAGGTAGGCTTCGGAGCTTGAGCCTAGGATCCACTCGTGGTAGTTCATCTGGTTCTGCTTCTAAAGGTAAAGAACTTTCTGAACCTACGCAGGAACCTTTAGTTGAAGAAATCGTACCCAATGATTTGTCTTTTGGGAATGATAGAAGATCTCTTCAAGAACAAATTAACAATTTAGAAAAAGCTGATACCTATTCCTCTTTAATAACTGAACTTGTGATTCCCACTGTTAGAAAAGATTGTAATTGGAGAGATAATCTTAGTATGATGATTCCTACCCCAAACCAGAGAATTTCTTCCTTCAGAATTGGATTCTCTTTCGTTTATACTTATCCCTTTATTTTGGGATTTAATCCTGCCATTGACCCAGTTATACTTGAATTTTGCCGCTTTTTCAAAATTTGCTTAGCACAAGTAGGTCCTCTTGTTTGGAGAACTGTGGCTTGCTTAAGGTATTTGTCTACCAAAGCCAATGTTGATTTTACCTTTTCCCATCTTATTCACCTATACCACCCCAAATTATTCCGACATAGAGTTTTTACCTTGACTGCAAGAAGCAAGAAGGTTTTAGTAAACCCCGAAGATGACAAGGATCGAGGGTGGTATTGTCGTTACGTTGCTGTTCGTACGGTAGATTTGTTGGGTGAAACAAACATTCCCTTCCCTGAGAAGTGGAATTTTGCACGTAAGTTTTTCTTTTTCTTACCGTATCTATTTTTAAGAATTTTGATTTCTTTTCTAATCTTGTCTCTTTTTGGCTTTTTGTAGCAACCATGGGAGATGTGGAACACGTTCCTAACTTCTGTGATTGGGTAGATTCAATTTTGAAGATTGCGCCTGTGGAGGCGAGAATTTGGAAATCAATTTCTCTTTTGAATGGCTGGAAAGTGAAGACCCATGGTATGTATTTCCTTATGCTTTGCCGTATATTGAATTCTTTCTTATTTTAATTCTTTATCCCTATTTTTATCAGGATTTGGTATCAGGGGTATGACAGCTGAGGTAGCCATTGCCATTCGAGCGTCTTCAGCCGCTTCTTTTGATTTGGAAAAGACTCGGGCCACGCTATCAAAAAGAAAAGTTGTAGAAGAAAGTTCTGAGAATGAGGAAGAAGAGAATACCTCTTTGATAGCTAGGCCAAGAGCCAGGAGACGCGTCATTGATGGAGATGAAGTTGAAGATCCTCCTGCTCGAGCCTCTATCTCCGAGCCTGTACAAATCCTTTCTGATGAGGATACCACCCCAAAAGGCTCTAATGAATCAATCCGACGTCTCTTTGTTAGTGATTTTGAGAGTGGAGAGTTTGGACCAGTTCTTGATGAAACTCCCCTCTCTTCGTCTATTCCCATTTCTTCTATTCCTTCTATTCCTTTGACAACCACGAGTATTTCTTTGCCTTTTTTATCGACTCCTGTTTCCTTACCTGTTTTGGTTCCCATATCTGCTCTTACTATCCCTGCTTCGACTCCCACAACTCCCATTGTTTTTACCTCTTCTACTATTCCTCCTTCCATTGTTTCCCATCCCTCTGTTCAGCACACAGAAGCGGGTTCTAGCAACAGAGGTATGGCTATGAGAAGTGTTACACTTGAAGTTCCTGCCAATCATAGCCTTTTGAGAAAGACTGGTGGAGCTGATGTTTGGCTCAAGCCTCTAATCGGAGATATTGAGAAGAAGAAGATGGAGAGCCACAGTTGCTTGACTCTGATGAATGACATAGTTCATTCTACCTTGAAGGTATTTCTCTTTTAACTTACAAGTTTTTTTTATATCCCTCTATATTCTCACATTTGATGCCTTTCCCTTGTAGGCTAATCTTATTGGTACTGAGTTAATGGGAAGAATCTCCACTCTAGAGAAGAAGGATCGAGAGTCTGCGAAGGCTATCTCTGAGGCTAGAAGAATAGCCAATGAAACCCAGCTTGAGGCAGCAAACTGGAAGGAGCAGTTTGAGAATGCTCAGGGGACCATAGAGGAGTTGCAAGAAAGTAGAAATCACCTGGAGCAGCAAAAGCGTGGTTTGACTTCTGAGTTAGCAATTGCCAAGGCTTCTTCAGGCCAATTTAAAAGAGATAAGGAGCTTTTGGAGTGCTCATTTTCAGAACAATTATCAAAGGCTAATGAAGAAATCAGAGAGATTAAGGCACTTGTGGAGAAGAAAGAAGAATATGCAGGGGAGTTAGTGCAAAGCTTGACTCAAGCTCAGGCTGACTTAAGGATTTCCTCTGACGAGATACATGCTTTGAAGAGTTCTCATGCCTCCCTTGAAGCTTCCCTTGATTCCACTTAGCTGAACACCAGATATTGAAGAAAGATATTGCTATGTGGGAAAGAGAGTATAGACTTCTTGAGGAAAACTTCAACATAGAGGTAAGTTGGGCTTTTCTAAAATCTCGCCGTGATGCTTTGATGGAAGCTACTCAAGAAAATTTTGATTTGCAATCTGAATTAGCCAAAGTCTTAGACACTATTGAAAAAAGCCAACAACCAGTTGATACTCCTTTTCCTGCACTTGGAACTCCTGGGGCAGAAGAGCTTTTAAATGAAGAAGTTGCTACTGCGGCAATTGGAGTTGCAATTCCAGCTCCCGAGGGTGAAACTTCTATGACATAGTCCATGGAAGCTGAAACTCCCGTGACTCTTGCTTCCCTCGGTGATTTTAACATTCCAGGCCCAATTGAAATCACTCATATTGCTGCTCCCTCAGAAGTTGTTACCGTGCCTGTGACTGCCCCTGAAAATGAGATTGCAACTTCTGTTGTTTCAACCCCTTCAGTGACTAGTTGAATATATTTCAAACTTTACTGTTGTTTTTTTTATTATTAATTGGTGGTGTTATCCCTTGGCAACTTTAAGTGATCTTTTGACGAAGTCCCCAGTTATAATAATGGGGCATTTGTAAAAAACAAATATTTTGCTGACTAAGTTTGTACTTAGTCTTTTATATTAAGAAGTTTTATCGGTACTTCTGTATATTTTATTCTTGACTATTTATCTAGGACTTATAGAATAGCTTAGCATTTTTATACTTTGAAAATGCTTTATGATTCTTATCATGGATTATTAACATGAGGCTTATAAAAGAGGGCCCTTTTATTTTATCGACACTTAATGAAGAAGACGTCTCAACTTCATAATGGTGTTATAATACGATGAAAGAAATAGGAATACACATGTTTTGTATGAAACAACTTTGGCAAGTTTTTATTCATGAACTTTAACAAGTTGTTTGACTATTACATGTATTAAAATACATCTATAACTTTCTCGTAACTATTTTTCTTGTAACAGATTTGTACATAACATAAAATAAACAAGGTTTTTCTTCATAACCTGTTTCAGTACATAGTCATGACCTTATCTTTATATATTAGGAAGGGTTTGAGAGGTGACTTCGTTTATGAGTTAGAGAGATGACTCTGTTGTTCTCATGGGAAAAACATTATGATGAATGTTATGTTCTCATGAATGCTGAAGACTTCGTAACTTTTTCTCAACACTTGTCTCTTTGTGGCGACTTTTGTTCGATATTCGTATATGTTTTTCTACACATATTTGTGTATAATATGTAGTCCCCCAAGTGTTTGAGCGTTGAAGTATGAAGCCTCGAGCACTTGTTTATTTCTTTTAATTTGGTCCTTTTCCTGAAATAGAAAAATATTCGGGACTCGGAGGTGCGATTATAGATGAAGACTGCCTAACTCGTGTGTATTTCCATTAGATTAATTGTAACCCTGGGCTGGGAATTTTAGAACACTCCATTTTGCCTTGCAGGTCGTGACTCATCATTTGGCACGAGTTAGGGTTTTTGCCTAGCATCTAAAATCGTTAGTAAAACTTTAATAATTCAAAGAAAAAATTTTAACATGGCGATACCTGACCGTGGGTACTTTCTCAGAAGTAATACCTCTTTAAATGGACGGCATTCCAATGTGAGGGTAAAACTTTGCCGTCCATTGTCTCCAACTCGTATGCTCCTTTTCCCGCAATGTCACGAACTTTGTATGGTCCTTCCCACGTTGGACTTAGCTTTCCTGAATTAGCAGCCTTTGTAGATTGGAACACCTTTTAAGCACGAAGTCCCCAATTTTGAAAAATCTGAGGCGTGCTTTCCTATTGTATTATCGTTATTACTTGCTTTTGTGCTGCCATTCTTATCAATGCAGCTTCTCTTCTTCTTTCAAGCAAATCAAGGTTGACCCGCATCTCTTCATCATTAGATTCCTCCGTTGCCCGAACGCACCGTGTGCTTGGTTCACCTATTTCGACTGGAATTAAGGCTTCCGCACCATAAACCATTGAAAATGGTGTTTCTCCAGTGCTTGTTTTTGTCGTTGTACGATAAGCCCATAATACTCCAGGTAATACCTCAGGCCAATTACCTTTTGAATCCTGTAACCTCTTCTTCAAGTTGTTGATAATGACTTTGTTAGTGGATTCCGCTTGTCCATTACCCACTGGATGGTATGGCGTAGACGTTATCCTTTTAATCTGCCAACTTTGAAGAAATTCTGTGATTTGAGCTCCTATGAATTGTGGTCCATTGTCACACACGATCTCCTTTGGTGCTCCAAAGCGGCATATTATATTTCGCCATATGAAGTCTTTAACTTCCTTCTCTCGTACCTGTTTAAATGCTCCTGCTTCTACCCATTTAGTGAAATAATCTGTGAGTACAAGTAGAACTTTACCTGACCTTTTGCTTGTGAAAGTGGACCTACGATATCCATTCCCTATTTCATAAAGGGCTACAGGGCTATAACAGGGTGTAGTAACTCAGCTGGTTTGTGCATATTATTGCCGTATCTTTGACTTTTATCACATTTGGACACGAAACTATTTGCCTCTTCTTCCATCTTAGTCCAATAATATCCTGCTCGAATCAATGTTCTTACCAGCGACCTTCCCCCTGCGTGATTTCCACAATGTCCTTCGTGCACTTCCCTCATCACATATTCTGTTTTAGAGGGTCCGAGACACCGTGCTAGTGGTCCATCGAACATCTTTCGATAAAGATTTCCTTGATAAAAACAAATCGAGTGGCGTTTTTGCGAAGTGCGTGAGCCTTCCCTTTGTCAATAGGCACGGTTCCGTGCTGTAAAAAAGCAATAATTTCATTTCTCCAATCCCATGTTAGATGATTAAAATTTACCTCATTCTTATTAGGTTCGAGAACGGAATGAAATAAATGTATGACTGAAGCATTTGCGTCGTTTATTACGTCAGCTACAGATACGAGATTAGCTAAAGCATCTGCCTCCACATTCTCATCTCTTGGGATCTGCATTACCTTCCAAGTTTGGAATTGCTTAATTAGTTCCCGTACCTTTTCGATATATTCTTGCGTTCGAGTTTCCCTGGGTGTATAAGTCCCCAGCATTTGATTGACCACGAGTTGAGAATCACTCTTAATTATAATTTGTGTTATGCCGAGTTCTCTTGCCAATTCCAAACCTGCAATTACAGCTTCGTACTCTGCTTCATTGTTAATTATAGAATGACATTTTATAGTTTGCCTTATAATTTCACCCGTAGGTGTTATGAGAACTATACCCAGACCTGCTCCTTTTATATTAGATGATCCATCAGTGAATAAAACCCAAGTCCCCGGGTTTGCATCATTAAAAACTTGTAATTCTTTTTCTGCTTCTAAATGCATCCCCTGACTAAAATCAGCCACGAAATCAGCTAGTACTTGAGATTTTATAGCGGTCCTGGGTTGATAAATGATTTCGTATTCACTTAGTTCTATAGCCCATTTTGCTAATCTTCCTGACAGTTCGTGTTTATGCAAAATATTTCGAAGCGGAAAAGCAGTAACTACAATAATGGGATGACATTGAAAATAAGATCTTAATTTTCTAGATGCCATGATCAAAGCTAATGCTAACTTTTCTAGCTGTGGGTATCGTGTCTCAGCATCTAATAAGGACTTACTTACATAATAAATAGGAGATTGTTTACCTTGGTCCTCATGGACTAAAACAACACTTACCGCAACTTCAGATACAGCCAGATAGATGAGAAGCTTTTCTCCCACCTTTGGTTTTGCAAATAACGGCGGTTTTGACAAATAAGCTTTCAAATTTCTCAGGGCTTGTTGACAATCTTCATTCCATTCAAAATGATCTTGCTTTTTGAGTGCAGAGAAAAACTTAAAACACTTTTCTGAGGATTTGGAAATAAATCTCCCCAAAGCTGCAATTCTTCCTGTTAATCTTTGAACTTCATTTTTATTAGTAAGGATATCAGGGATTTCTTCTATTGATTTGGTCTGAGAAGGATTTACCTCAATACCACGGTTAGAAACAAGAAACCCCAAAAACTTACCTGATGCAACTCCAAATGCACATTTTTCTGGGTTGAGTTTCAGATTAAATTTTCGCAAAATTTCAAATGTAACAGATAGATGAGAAATATGATCATGAGACTGTTGGGTTTTGACGAGCATATCGTCTATATATACCTCCATTGTTTTTCCTAAATATTCTTGGAACATTTTGGTGACCAACCTTTGATAGGTTGCCCCAGTAGTTTTGAGACTAAAGGGCATTACTTTATAATAGTAAGTCCCCCTGTCTGTAATGAAAGAAGTTTTTTCTTCATCACTAGGGTCCATTTTAATTTGGTTGTCCCCTGAATATGCATCTAAAAAATTTAGAAGTTTATGTCCTGCAGTTGCATCAATTAACTGATCTATATGTGGTAAAGGAAAAGAATCTTTTGGACAAGCTTTATTAAGATCTGTATAATCTACACAGACTCGCCACTTACCATTTTTCTTAGGTACAACAACTGTGTTGACTAACCAATTAGGATACTTTACCTCGCGGATTGACCCAATTTTTAATAGCTTTTGGACCTCATCTTGAATAACCTGATTTTTGAAAGCCCCTTGCTTTCTTTTCTTTTGCTTTATTGGTGTAAAGGATGGATCTTCGTTTAATTTGTGAGTCATCACATCTGGTGGTATTCCTGTCATGTCAGCATGGGACCAAGCAAAACAGCTCACGTTAGCTTTTAAAAATTTAATCAACATACCTCGCATATCTGAGCTTAAATTGGCTCCAATGTAAACCTTCCGTTCAGGCCACTGTTCGAATAATATCACAGCTTCGAGTTCTTCAATTGTTGTTTTGATATTTTCATTCTCTTCTGGTTCTTGAATTGTATCAGGTCTCGAGTCTAAATCCGTCTTTTCTTGTTCAACTAAGGTTTGATCCTTGAATCCTTCAACTGTTTCCTGTAATTGCTATTTTTCTTTATTTACAGTGCTCGTACCTGTTACAGCGTTGATACTCCTAGCTGTCTGCTGATCCCCACGAATTTGGCAAATTCCCCATGATGATGGGAATTTAATAACTTGATGTAGAGTTGATGAGACAACATCCATATCATGTATCCACGGTCTCCCCATGATCATATTGTAAGCCATTTCTATATCTACCACCTGAAATTTAGTTTCTTTAACAACACCTGCA